AGACAGACAGACAGACAGACAGACAGACAGATAGATAGATAGATAGATAGATAGATAGATAGATAGATAGATAGATAGATAGATAGATAGATAGATAGATAGATAGATAGATAGATAGATAGATAGATAGAAAATCCTCAAAGTAGAGATTTTGTGCCAGAGAAAAAGAAATATTGTTCAGATTTTTGGATTTATTAATTTAATGATCAAACACTGATTAGTTTCTGTGACATTGATGTTTGAGTCCAAGGCAGCAGCTTTTTGTGTGACTGGTCAAACTGAGCAACTTAAAACTTTTTATAACTATGATCCTTCATCTTCCTCTTGTTCTGGACTCAGGTCTCAGGTGCAGCAGCTTGAGCAGGGAGGTCCAGACATCTCTTTTCACAGCTCTTCTGGGAGGACTCCAAGACTTAATTTGTAAACCGATAGATGCCGGCACACAGATAGCGAGGTTTAGGGGTCCTCCCCCTGAAAATTTTTAATGAAGTACAGTGGATGTGATTTCCTGCATTTTGGTGTATTTTAACGAGTTGTTTCCTACATTTGTAAACACTCCGCTTCTGTCAAGCTCTGCCCCCCCAACCAACTTGACAATTCCGTCAAGTCGGGCTCTGTCCCGAGGCCGACTGTCCATGTTCGTTGTTGTCCAACTCCACAAGTGAAACCTCCAGGCGCCTGCCCTGCGGCTGCCTGTGGGCTCCTGCCAGCGTATGACTGCCTGCTCAGCACTTCACTCTTTTAAGGGTAGACACGGTAATGTTTCACTTGAAGAGGCAGATTGTGGCTGTTGTGCTTATAATTAGTGTTTATGTAATTATCTTCAGTTTACATATCCAATATAAGCTTTATTCATTCAAGGAAGTCATATTTGTTCATAACTTTATTAGTAAGCCTTAGAGTTACTGGATTCTAGTAAACAGTTACCGGAAGCACCCTGTCAAAATAAGAATTCCTGCATTCTGTTCCGGCAGGATCCGGCTCAAGTTAAGCCCTGGAAGACTCCAAGGCGTTAGTCTCTCGATTGTCCTGGGTCTTCTCCCAGTTCGACATGCACGAAGCATCTCCCTAGGGAGGCGCCCAGGAGGCATCGTTACCAGATGCCTGAACCACCTCAACTGGCTCCTCTCGATGTGGAGGAGCAGTGGTTCTAATCAGAGTCTCTCCTGATAACAGAACATCTCACCTTATCTCTAAGTGAGAGTCCAGCTACCCTGCAGAGGAAACTCATTTCAACCTCCTGTATCCATGATCTCGTTCTTTCGGTCACTATCCAGAGTTCATGACCATAGGTGAGGGTAACATAGACTGACCAGTAAACAGAGAACTTTGCCTTACAGCTCAGCTCCCTCTTTATCACAATGGACCGGCACAGAGTCTGTAATACTGCAGATGCTGCACCAATCCGTCTGTCAATCTCACGCTCCATTTTTCCTTCACTTGTGAACAAAACCCCAAGATACTTGAAATCTTCCTCTTTAGACAGAACATCACTCTCGACCTGAAGAGAGCAATCCACCTTTCTCTGACTGAGGACCATGGCCTCAGATTTGGAGGTGCTGATTCTTATCCCAGCTGCTTCACACTGGGCTGCAGACCGCTGCAGTGAGAGATGAAGCTTACGGCACCATGACACCAACAGGACCACATCATCTGCAAAGAGCAGAGATGGAATCCTAAGGCCACCGAACAGGACTCCCTCCTCCCCCTGGCTGCACCGAGAAATTCTGTCCATTAAAGTTATGAACAGAATCTGTGACAACAGGCAGCCCTGGAGGAGTCCAACTTGAGAATGAGAACCAAACTGTCACACGACTTGTATAGTGACTGAACAGCTTGTTGTGTGACCGGTCAAACTGAGCAACTTAAAACGTTTTATAATTATTAACAAATTATGGTAAATCTAACGAGTCTCCATCCTCATTTATAATGTCTGGTTTATTAAAATCCTTTCCACCTTTACTGTGACAGTGTATAAACTAGAAAAATGAACGAGTTGGGGGGGGGGGGGGGTTTGAATGAGGAAAATAGATTTCAAACATCATTACCAATTGAATTTATCTTTTATGAAAAAAAAAACAAAAAAAAACAGAACCATCCCATCCTTCTCTCACCCACTAGCAATTTTAGAAATTAAATAAGAAGTAAAACAGCACTGAGTTTAACTCGGAGTGACCTTCAAAGTTTTAAACAAGGTTTTTCACATTTTCTAAAAAGGAAAAAGACGAGAAAAATAAATGAGTAAAAGCAGCACCTTGAACACTGGACTGACACAACACAAAACCATTACATCTTATTCTGTCACTTCAACCCCACAACACATTTGGACCTGAAAAACTGAAAAAACACATCTGAAGGAATCTTCAGACCGCCGGTTCACACATTCTGTCTCTCAGTGATGATGTCACAGCTCGTCGTGGCGCAGCGGCTCCAGACTGGGCTGTATGAAGACCCCCTCCATCGTGCGCCACCAGTTGTGCTGGTTGGGGGAGCTCATGCCGTGCACCTCCCTCTGACCGCGGATCGGATGGCCATACTGCTCGCCAGTGATGCTTAGGAAGACATCCGTGCCCACGTGTTTGAAGCGCACCACCTCGTCACGTTCCCAGTACTCCCCGTCACACTGAACCATCCACACATCAAGGTCATCTCCCTCACCGTTCTCTCCAAACGCACTGACTTCCTGTAAAGACAAAAACAAGACTTCACTTGGAGTTAATGTGGCTGACGTTAGGGGAGAATCTCACCGGGGCTGTTTGACACTCACAACTGAGGGACACTGCAATGAAAAATCATTTTGTCTCCATTTAAGTGTCTGTGACCAGCAAGTGATGCAGCCCAACTTTGAGTGCCCAGGTACTGGAAAAATCTATTTTTGTGTGCATGCCTTGCAAAACTGTATTCTTGGTCATGCACATTATTTAAATGCCCATCTGCTCAATCAGTTGCCCCCATGTTTATGATTCAATCTACAAGAGTACAAAAAGAAAAGGTTTGAAAGCTCAATCTTCCAGGTAAATAAATCGCAAAAAAAAAATAAAAAAGGTTAAATCATGTCAACTGGACAGTTTCTTTTTGGGATAAACGTTTCATCTTTCATCCGAAAGACTTGGTCAGTCTGAGGCCTGCCATGCCACCAAGATCTGTCAGATGTGGACAGCTGGTCTTCAGGGAGGGATTATGGGTAAAATTTATGTTTGTTGTTAATCATTTCAGTTAGCTGTTTAGCATTGTTCTTTTAGTGATTAGTCTGTTCTTGTTAGCCTTGTTTATGTGCTCATTATGTGTTAGTTTTTGTTAGGCCATTCAGTAAACTAACCATGAGTGACGGAGGTAGTTGTCATGAAGACCTGTGGGTTCACTCTGTCTGTGTGTTGAACAGGAAGCCAACGTCTATAAAACACCATCTGGTGGTTGAATCTTGATCTACAACAAGAACTGCACATCTCTCAGTAGCTGTGTGCTACCACTTATGTTACAACGTGAACACCCACAGCTTATATGTGTACAAATGTTGTGTTTTGGGGGTTTTGTTTTTTTTGGTTAGTTTATTAATTGTGCACAGCTTATACTTGGGTATGCTCTATTCCGAAAATTACTGTATTTCTTTCAACTAATAGGGTTAATTGACAACACATCAGTAGGAGGACTGAGTATTAAAAGAACATCCAGTATAGCTATAGTATAGTTGAATATACAGACCCTTTCCAATACATTAGAATATCATAGAAAAATTGTTTAACTTCCATAATTCCATTCAAAACGTTAATCTTTAATAGATGATCGATTCAAGGCCCAAAATTTAAACAATTTCAAGTATTTAGTTGTTTATTTTTACATAATTTGGGCTTCCAGCTCATGAAATCCACAAAAACAGGATTAAAAAAAAATAGAATACTGTGAAGACATCAGCTCACACTACTTCTCAGTTTTTGCAGAAAAAAAGAAAGATATTAGGATCACAACAAATCAATCAAAATATGGTACTTTCAAAACAATATGTCAATCTTCAATACTTGGTTGGGAATCTCTTTGCCTCAATCTCTGCCTCGATGAGATCTGGCATTGAGGCAGTCAGCCTGTGGCATTGACTGGGAGTTATGGAAGCCCAGATTTCCTTGATGCTTGCTGTCAGCTCTTCTTTGTTGTTGGGTCTGGTGCACCTCATTTTCCTCTTGAGAATACCCCAAAGATTCTCAGTGGGGTTTAGGTCTGATGAGTTGGCTGGCCAGTCAAGCACTGCGGCATGGGCAACAAACCAGGTTTTGGTGCTTCTGGCGGCATGGGCAGGGGCCAGGTTCTGCTGGAAGATGAAATCTGCATCTCCATACAGATCCTCAACAGAAGGAATCATGAAGTCCTCTAAAACATTCTGGTAGACTGTTGCAGTGACCTTGGATTTAAGAAAGCAGAGTTTACTAACACCTGCACCGGACATTGCACCCCAAATCATGACTGACTGTGGATATTTCACACTGGACCTCAAGCAGTATGGGTTCTGTTCCTCACTCTTCTTCTTCCAAACCCTTGGACCTTGATTTCTGAATGAAAGGCACTTTACTTTCATCGGAAAAGAGGACAGAGGAACCCAACAGTTGTAGCCCATCTCCTGGATGCGTCTGAATGTGGTGGATTTTGAAGCTGTGACTCCTGCCTCATTCCACTCTTTCTGGATCTCTGCCAGATTCTGGAATCTTCTCTCTTTGATAATCTGCTGAAGCCCACGGTCATCTCTTTTGCTGGCGCATCTTCTCCTGCCACATTTTGCCCTTCCACTAGACTTTCCATTGATATGCTTGGACACAGCACTCTGTGAACAGCCAGCCCCCTTAGCTACGAACTTTTGTGGCTTGCCCATCCTATGGAGGGTATCAGTGATGGTCTTCTGGCCAGTTATGTCTGCAGTCTTCCCCATATTGAACCGAACTGAGACAATTGAACCAAACTGAAGCAATTTAATGACACCTGGGGAAAGCTGTGCAGGTGCTTTGAGTTTAGTAGATGATTAGTGTCACACTCAGTTTAAAACATTCATGCCCTGCAAAATTTGGGCTGATTTCTCCAATGTATTCTAATTTTTTGAAATCCTGTTTTTGTGGGTTTCATGAGCTGGAAGCGCAAATGACATAAAAATAAACAAATAAATACTTGAAATCATTTAAATTGTGGGCCCTGAATCTATCATCTATTAAAGATGAACTTTTTGAAAGGAATTATGGAAGTTAAACAACTTTTCCATGATATTCTAATTTTTTGGAAAGGGTCTGTATAGTCTAGATGAATCTCTCTGAAGTAAAGTTTCACCAATCTGTGAAACAATGTCAAAAAAGAGTGGAACAGTTTCAGAATTATGCTCTTCAAAGGAAAACTGAAGACTTTGAATATCCCATCTACAGTTTGTAATACAGTAGTCCCTAGCTACTTCACAGTTCATTTTTCACGGACTCACTCTATTGCGGTTTTTCAATGTAAGATTAGACATTACACACAATTGGCTGATTGATGGATGAGTCACGGATTGCTTATTTAAAATAAATTATCTTTAATGATTTAGCACCTGGCAGCATGGTGGCGCAACTGGTAGAGCTGCTGCCTCTCAGCGAGCAGGTCCCTGGTTCAAACCCCGGTCCGGGGGCCTTTCTGGGTGGAGTTTGCATGTTCTCTCCGTGCATGCGTGGGTTTTCTCCGGGTGCTCCGGTTTCCTCCCACAGACCAAAAACATGCATGTTAGACTGATTGGTAACTCTAAATTGTCCCTAGGTGTGAGTGAGAGAGTGAATGGTTGTTTGTCTCGTTTGTCTCTATGTGGCCCTGTGATGGACTTGCGACCCATCCAGGGTGTACCCCGCCCCTCGCACAGTGATTGCTGGACATGGGCACCGGTGACCCCCGTGACCCAAAATGGAATAAACAGGTAAAGATAATGGATGGATGGATTTAGCACCTGTGTGCAACATACAGCTGTGTGAGAAGCTTTCTCCTGCAGCTGATCTCTGCTCTGCAGTGGAGAAGTGGGTGTGGCCAAGAGCGCTGGCCAGGGCTTAATTTGTAAAACAATTGACGCCGGAACACAAATAGCAGGTGGTCTGGCGTGGGGAGTCCGTGGGTCCTCCCCCAGAAAATTTGGAATAAAAGAGATGCCATTTCCTGCATTTTGGTGTACTTTAACAGGTTGTTAAACAACTGTAAAATTTTGTTTAAATTGATTAAAAACAGGTCTCTCTTGTAAATGAGTCCTCGAGGCTCAATGAGACCCGACAACCAGTATAAATAAAGGTTGAATTGAAATTACTATTTTAGAGAGCAGTGAATCGAGCAGTTCCAATTCTGCCTTGATGGCGGACTTATCTCAACTCCTCCTGGAATGTTTTGAAAACGTTGGTTACGTACTGTAACCCCAGATTCTATGAGTATAAGCGTAGCCCTTTAAGGCTGTCGCTGATGGGTTATCCTGTTATGCGAAGCATTACACTGAAAAAATTTAGTCCATGCCCACCTGCTGTGTGGGCCCTACCCGGTCCGTATAAATTATGTTAAGAGCGGGAAATCGGCTCCCAAATAGCTTTTTCTTCAGCCAATTGGGAGCCAGTGAGGCCCGACGCTTAAAGGGCTATGCTTATACTCATAGAATCTGGGGTTACAGTACGTAACCAACGTTCTATTTCATATAAGCTTCGCCCTTTAAGGCTGTCGCTGATGGGTTAAGGGCGAAGCAGATGTGGTCCTCGCCTCACTGGGTCCATTTGAACACCATATGAAGCAGAAGCTTGCCCAAAAAACGTCTCGTCACTCAGCTCCCCATGTGTGTAATTATGCATTGCGTAATTATGTGTGCCATGCACAGACGCATGTTGTGTAACTATGCATTCTGAATGCATGAACGCCCCGGAAAACTTTCAACGGGAAGGGAAAATATGCTGAAAAGAGCCATGAACCAACCGGTTATGGCTGAACAATATGAACAGATTAATAATAACAGGAGAGCTGATTATTAATCAAATGAACTGATTAGTAACAATAGTTGTGAACTGATTAGTGACAATAGAACCAAAATAACAATCACAACTTGTGACTGATACCAACATCTCACACTGTAATGCATGCAGAGAGATGTGAGTTAAACAGAGTTCCATGAAACAACAATATTCATTCTGTAAAACACTAAGGACAGAATGTGTCATGGAACGGGCCGTCACATCACGTAGATAAAAACGAATGAATGAGCAGGGTGTTGACCATGCGGCCGCAGTGCAAAAATGTCCTGCATTGTCATACCATTATGAAAGGCAGTCAAAGATGCGATACCCCTGGTCGAGTGTGCTCTGAGGTTGACAGGAGGCTCTAAATCTGATGCTCTGTAGGCTTCAGAAAAGGCCTCACACAGCCAGTGTGACAGGCGCTGGGTGGATAACGGGCGACCTGCAGATGCATCTCTATAATGCACAAACAAATGTTGAGTTTGACGCATTGCTGCTGTGCGTGTTATGTAACACGTCAACGCCCGCACCGGACAGAGAAGATGGAAAAACGCCTCTTCTTCTGATTTGTGGGGGGGAGGGAAAAAAACCCTCCAATGATATCACCCTTGATTTCAAAGAGCTCGTGATGTTTTAGGCATAAAGTTGAATTTGGTCTTAAATCAGCTGAGCTGCCGTCAGCCTGAATTCTAAGACAAGACGGAGC